GGCGAGATGTGACACCTACCGTTGGCTAGTTTCTCAACCAGGTATCTCCAACCCGCAGAGCACCACCCCAGTCGGGACAAGCTCTAAGCTCCCAACAGCTCTCCCTGCATGTGTGGTAGTGTAGTTCATGTTAGTGTGAGTGTGTAAGGGGGAAGAGGAGGACAAGGAAGAGGAAGGAAAGATCACTCTCTTTCCATGTGTCCTCTCAAGCCGCCGTGGAGGTTGATGCCGAATCATCCGGTGGGGACAAACATCGCCCCCTCCCGGGCTAAAATATTTGGGGACTATTGACTATAGCAGTCAACGTGCGTGGAAATACCCATCAATAAATCAATCAGTCAATCATGATGCAAGACAAATGAAGTTACATGGTGGATTTCACAACGATTCGGACAAGGAGCCCTTACAGATCGCACAATGGAAATTCTGAGTGAGAATTCATTTTATAGAAATGGTCAGACAGTGCATTCGATTAGTTTGTCCTCGTATGTACGTATTTGGCATGTTAGGTCGGGTTAATCCTTCGTTTCGCAGCAAGCGTTGTTCCCAGGCCTGAGCCCTAGTTTTATTTAATGTCCGCCCTTCGGGGAAAGGGAAAACATGTATCGAGCATGACGTATTCGTTTCATCGTAGCCGGCTTACTTGGCCTGCCTGAGCTTAATTTCGTTGTCACTGCTATATAAATTGAGATGATTTGTATTAGAAAGCTTAATTTTTGCCCGGGCCGGAAATCAAACCCGGGACCACCTCACAAAAGCTAGTACTCTGTCATGAGCTACCAGAGTAGTTTATTCGATTATTTAATTAGAAATATTAAACAACCAATGTAGGCATTATTTCGTGCAGAAATTCAAATGGTAATTCATTGTTTAATGTATTAATAAAAATACTGCATCATTTGAAAATCTTTACTCATCGTTTTGTTTTTTTATTGTACCTGTTATGTTCGTCGTAACACATCCCCCAACGTATAATAATATCCCCTCGGGACATCGACTGCTCTTAATGCTGATTCTACTGATGATAGAATAACTAGATTAGTGCATGTCAGTGCCTGAATGTGAATTTTAACTCACAGCAACTTTATGGGTGCTTATTGTGGTTCCCTCGGATTCATTCTAGCCGTATGCCACAGCAGTACATTAAACAAGTGATCTTCACCGGCAAGCTCCTTAATTTCTTAATCTGATACCACTCCCTAACAATCGACATCTGGCTAATTTTATGTTGACCTAAATTTATTTATTCAGATTTAGTTATTTACTAGTTAACTATATGTTAACTTGACTCTGTTTCTATTTTCATATTTCCCTTCCATAATTACCCCATAAGAAAATATGTATCATTCAACTGTTTTCATATTTCCTTCGTAACCACGGTCCTCTCGAGATAGACAACTTAGGCAGTGTACATCGTTTACCGTGTCGAAGAAAATAACATGAAATAACGTGTCAGTAAAAAATAAAATAATATATTTTCTCTACGTTCGTTTCAACGAATTACACCACAATTTATTCATTGTCCGAATTACGTCGCTAAGAGCATCAACTGATGTCACTGCAGTGACACTGAATGGGAGGTTCTAGGAGTCGAGCCCCGATGGTGACAGAATTTTCGACTCTAACCAGATTGAATTCAGGCTGGGTTGAATTCAGCTGCTGTCTCGAGGAGAACTCTTGTAACCGAATGGTCTGGTAGGTAGTTTTCACGTGGTTTCTTCCGTCAATATCAGACGAATGCCGGAGTACTACCCCAACAAATGGACCACGGACCACAGTGATACTTTCTTCCCATTCCTTAATCTATCCTCACCCCAAACGTACACACTTACACTTATACGCACTACTTACACGCACTACTCTACTAGAATTGTCGGAGGCATTAGGATGTCCGGGCTGGGGTAAAGCCCCGCGGGTGGGAGGTAAGTGGATGAAGAAAATGGCAACGACTCTCGACCTCCAGCGGGGGAAGAACGCCGTCACATCCAGAAATGAAGAAAATGCGATACACTTTCTGTACGGTTCTACCCGCTTGACACCTACCCCAGGGCAAGTTGGAAAAAGTGCAGATGACGATCGAGTATTAAATGTCTAAGGACATCTGCACTACTAGCAGACCATGACACCTATATTTTCTTTTCTTCTTTAAGATTGAAGTTGTCACTTAATTTGAAGAAGGAGACAAAAAATTCCTCCGAAAATCATGTTAAAGAATTAAATTAATGAAATTGAATCGTTTAAAAGAAAGCGATTTTCACGACTGGTACTTTTTTAACATTACCCTATGTTAAATATTAGAAGAATTTTGTTATTTAATCATCCCATTACTTTCCGTCCTTCAAACAATTAAAACCTTGTTTATAAATTGGAAAATGGAACCACGAAACGAAATAAAACAAAAGGAAGCAGCGAAAGCGTGAGAGCCTGCGAGCTGCGGCCGGGGCTCGAAGCAACGGCCGCTGGGGCGGTGGTCGCTCCCGGAGCCGCGGGCGCGGGGTGGGGGTGGGGGGGTGAGGGGATGGCGTGGAGCGCTCGCAGAGGGCCCGAGCGCGCAAACCGGTAGTTCCCGCCGATGCCCAATAGAGCGCTGCGAGCGCGCTTGAGAAACGCTCCCGTGCCTGCCGGACGAGTCATTCATAGCGTTGCGTCGAGTCCCCGGGAGCGACTGCTCGCCAGCTGGGCGTTTCGGTCCCGGACTGAAAGAAAAGCTACGTCACAGTGAAGAGTAGTAACGTTATTATGCCGATACGGGCAAAAAAGGCGTAAGCGGTTGAAGTTTGTAAGCCGTGGCAATAGTAGAGGTTTATACCCAATGAAATCCCTTATTTGTGACATAGGCCTTATTTACTTTTCATAATGTCACCTACCCTCTGTTAAGAAATAATCATATGAAATGAAATATAATTACTTAGAATTGATATACGATAGGTAAATATATGTAGATATAATAGTTAACCGTGCACCATCTTTGGGTACAACTCATTTGTTTGGACAATTCTTAACGGATGGAGAGCGGTTACAATTCGTAACGGATGCTGACCGTTTATTCTGGCTTTTAGTTTCTCTGTTTGTTTTGGTTCAGTATCAACAATATATCATGATAATTCACTATCAGAAAGAAATAATTTACGAATCCATATGTACGTACCAATTAATTTTTTGGTAAAAATAAAAGCATGTTTATGTGGTTAAAACATTTCTCATCAAAAAAAAAAACTTCATACACACTTGTCACTACAGTAAAACGCTCGTACGGAAAGAGAAAATTCCATTAATATGAAACAAAATAATACTTAATTATAATTTTGTTTTGACAGATCATTTGCCAGATGCTACATCGTATTTCTAGGTGCGACTTTCAATAGAGTAACTTTCTTGATTATCATTTGTCTTGGAAGCAATTAGAAATAAAGCTGTCTTCCTATAATTCTCTAGTCCCTAAAGCTAATAAATTTATGTATGATTTATCATTATCATTTTGACAGGGTGAAGTTTAAGATTCTAAATTAAAAGAACAATAAAAAATAAGATTCTTCTCTATGAAATTGTTATCTTTAGAAGGTTGTAGAGTAAGTGCAATTCAAAGAGAATTGCATTAGAGTTGGAATAAATTCTATTTGCTTTCTGTAACGTAAGACATATTGCTTGACATATTGATGAATCACTTAATTCACAGAAATTCTCAGAAGTATGAAAAAGAGTACTCGTATTCAGTTATTTTGTCTGAGTACTCCTTTCTATTTTATAGTTTCATTATATTCTTCCGAATTATTTATACTCCCACCTAAAAGAAATAACTGACTTGATCGCAAGGATACACGTGTCACCTGCCTCAAGTTAAACATGGTCCCTTGAGACGCGGGGCGTGTCGTGGCCACGAACCTCATCACCTTAAACAACGCCGTCTCCTCCACCTCGTCCCCATCTCCTCTGGCTCCTTCGCCTTCGTTGCTCCAACCTCCGCCGCCACCTCCAACTCCGTCGTCCTCACCGCCTTCGTCGTCGTCTCCACCACTGCACGCACTACGAGGCAAACACCGCCCATCCAGTCGGGGGCGTACCTATAGCCGAGAGTCCACCGCCTCCATCGCCTTCAACAACGCCGTCTCTTCTAAGTCTCCTCCACATTCTCGCCTCCATCAGCGTCACCACCGCCGTCTTTGTTGCCACATCCACCATCGCCGCTGCCCCCAGAATCTCGTCCTTCATTACCGCTTCCACAGCCTCTCTATCTAAGCCTCGATCTTCGTCCTGCATCGGCCGCACCGCCTTGGTAATCCGCTTTCGCCTCCTAACGCCGCACCCCCTCGTTCGTCAGCCACCATTTTGCCAGCCGCCACCGCCACCGACACCGCTGTCGCTGTCACCAGGACTCTATATATCGTTGGCTTGGCGTCATCGTCTCTCTTGCACGTGCCCTCCGCCTCCTCCACCTCCAGCAACTCTCACCACCAATCCCCCCCTTCCGACCACACCGTCACAGGTCCCCACCTCTGCGGTAAGCCCACGGCACTTTTCATCTCTGCTACGCACCGGCCAACATAACCACGTCACAATCGCAACGCGCGTCAACAGTCGCACTTAGCCTGCTCCCCTTGTCAACCTAGCGCGGCCGCCATCGCCGCCTCCGCTTTTCTCCGCTCGCCTGCACCCCTCCCCGCCACCGACATCACACCGTCACCTCCGCACACCGGCCGTCACACGTGCCGCCTGCTCCCCGCTGGCGACCGCATCGCCGTCTCGCCTTCCTCCGCCTCGCCTGCTCCGCACCGCAGCACCTTAAAGATCACTCACCTGTCACTCGGCCCCGCCGTCACAGTCGCGCATGCCTCCCGCTGGTCGGGCATCGCGCCTCCGCCCTTTTCGCTCCGCCTGCTCGCCACCGCAAATCCCACCTAAGTACTCCGCCACCGCGTCAAATCGCCGCTGCCTCCGCGCTGGCCCGGCCGCCATCGCCGCCTCCGCCCGTCCGTCGCTCCGGTGCCCGGAGGCGCGCTTCAGGCGCAGCGGCGGGCGGCGCGGGGCTTGATGTTTTCAGGCCGGGGGCGGCAGCGCGTTGTCGTCCGACGTGCGGCGGCGGCGGCAGCGCCACACGTGGACCCGCCCGTGGAATGCCCGCCTGGGCGCGGCGTCGAAGAAGGCACGGCGCTGCGCGGCGCGGCGCGGCCGTGTTTTGTTTCGGCGCCGCCGCCGCCGCCGTGGCGCGGAGAGCGTGCGCGCCCGCGAGCGAGAGAGAGCCACTGCCGGCTAGGGATGGCAAAAAAATTGATGGTTTTTAAAACATCGATATTTTCGAGCAGACACATCGATATTATAAGGGCACCTTCGAAGCATTTTGTGTTGAGTTGAAATAGACAAAAACTGTAGAATACTCGAAATGATAGAGTATAGGAAAAGTTGAAATTGGGAGATTCATACGCTAACTGATAGATCTGTGTTCGAGGTTTAGTCGTTTATGTAAATTCAATGTTTTGCTTTCGATGTTTTCTTCAGATATATATTGTTTGTTGGTTGCTCACAGTTAACAGCCATTCACTGACACTGGTGTCGAACCCCAGAGATCACGAAACTGTTTGCTATTTGCAACCGTTCTCCAGTCTTATTACCTTTTTTTAATATTATTTAACGTGATTTTGCCGTGAAACTGCATTTTGGGCTTTGACTTCATAGAACATTGTTTAGAAAACTAGGACCACAGTGAAAGTTAAGGCAGAATATATTATACTAATATTGGCGTCTTAAATATCACATTAGGACGAAAACATTTTACTTCGCATTGTCTCATCATATTTAAACCATCTATGGTATTGTTGTTTTCATTGATATCGAACATCTATTGTTCATCTATCGATGTTTTGCTCAAATTCACCACAGCTAGTCACGCCTACACGAAGTGTGCTGCCCCGGACGCCAGTGCCAGGCGAACGCGTTCTCCCAAAGTGTTTTATTGAAAATGAGGTGTACGGAAATCTTAATCCTGTCTATGGAATCCCTCTAAATAATTTGGCGCTGGTGGCGTGCTTGGGAACAGCAAACCTTACTGCGGAGGAACCAATCTGTACGTAATCGAGCACCATATAAAACTTGCAGAGAGTTCTGCTTTTTACCATCCTGGAATATTATTAGCTCAGGAATTTGCTTTAAAAAAGTACTTAATACTGAGCTCATGTCTATAAACGTCTGTAATGTGCAATTCGCAGGTCATATAAAAGGTGGAAGTTGGAGTCTGCATTGAACTGCACCTACAATTAATATCGTATTTAATTTAACACAGCTGGATCAGTGTAATTTCTGCTATCAACGCATTGGTCATCATAATTCCAAAACTACTACAATGTGAGTTACATTTGTTCATTACTAATAATTTTTAATAGTCACTTAAGGTTTAGATTCCATGTGTTTTCCCCCGCAATATCCCACTTCCCTTCTGAAGTTGCTTTTCCACTAATTCGCGAACCATTGCATTTTTGAATCTATTTAAATTAACATTCTAAAGTTATTGAACTATTGCAACCATTTGTGCATTATCAGCCACTGGACAATACGTCGTTCACTATCGTAAGCAGACATCAACGTCAGAGTTGTGGCTTTGAATTTCAATAGAAGAACGTGGATCTATTTTCACTGACAATGATTTATTCATATACGCGATGATACACAACATCTTCTGATACCCTGTAAAAGCATCGGCTGTTGGGCGAATGTTAAGCTTGTTTGAAATGGCCAGGTCCTCTCAAATCAACTCAGTTTTCTTGCCTGCTCATACTCTTAGAAAGCATAGTACTTCTTGATGTAATGTGAAGTTCAGGAGGTTAAGTTTCTACTGCTAGATAACATTCAAATAACATTTTTCTGTAATTATTATGCACTTTGAATGAATTATAATTTAACATATTCATATATTTTTATATTAATGTAAATTTAACTACGTAAATTACTTTTATCATGAAACATAATACACCAAGATCGTTTCAAAAGCATTCCTAGTTTCTTACCCTTTTTGAAAGAATGTTGTGCAAAAAATGTCTGGGATACATGTTGGCAAAAAAAGCTTGCATTTCCAAACACGACGGAGTTACATAGTTCGCTGACATTTCTTTCCTTACTCTTCTCCAGACTTCGCCCGCTGTGGGGGGCCGACGACCGGAAGCCTGCGTCCCAAAATGTTGGGCGCACTGTGACCGCCACCAGGCGTGAGCAGTGCCCCGCCATCTCCCGCTCATGTGACCTCACGTGCGCAACATCGCCAGAGTCAGTGTTTGAAATGGGCGCTAACGAGTGCTGGCGAACGTCCAAAATATTTCGGTGAGTGTGATCAACAACACAACGCATGGAAAGGAAGTATTGAAACGTTGGGAGCGACGATTACGGAAAACGACATCAAAAATATAATGAAGGGTCATGAATATTCGTTTTATGAATTTATAGCGATAGGGCAGATTTTCAATTTAGCAAGCAGAGGGGAAATAAGGAGTGATCGCAAAATAGAATTATTATATTTTTTTTAGATACAGTGCGTCCGTGGAAAAGGAAGTAAAGATGAGGAATGAAACTACACCCTTTATATAATTACTAACTCCATTTAAGATATTTTTACAGAAACAGATTTTTCATGTTATTATACAAGTAGATAATCGCAGTCCAAACCAAGATTTTTCTTGGGTGTAGTATTCAGCTTATTTGACGTTTTACTATAAAAATCTTTCATTTATGCTGATTTTTTTTATTTAAGGATTTACGCTTACTTACTATTTATTTTATTGAGATATTGCGTAGCTATCGTTTCTAGAGGAAATTAATAAAAACCGTATCTGTAAACCTGTTTTGTCGTCTTTTGGAGGGGGTTGAAACATCATGAACCCGTCTTCTGAAGTGTGCCATTGCATGGAGTTTAGTTATAGAATTTGCTTGTTGAGAGATAGTGTCGTTAATCCAATGCAGGCAAATCACTAGTTTCTTTAAGTTAGATTATACATCATAACACAAGAATAACGCCACTTTATTTTCATTCTGACAAATGTTTTTTAAAAAAAACATCACGCTCTCGTAATAGTCAAAGACATGCGAGATAAAGAAATATCAATTGATTTTTGAGTGGATCTATCGTGTCTCGAGCGCGCTACGAAGCTGCATGAACAACGGCGAAGCATAAGGGGATTCCCCTCCTGAAGGCGGAGCAACCTTTATGTAAGCTCCAGTCGCCCGCGAGCTGGGAAGGAAATGGCTACAAGCCAGCTCTTGGAGACTTTAATGCGGGATAAAGAAGATCATTGAACGCGCTTCCACCAATCATTTAGTAATTTGGAAAAAAATATCACATTCGAAACAAACTACTAGGGTTATTTCATCACAGTTCAAACCTACCTCCCGGGTTCATTGCTCTACTTTCTGAGAGGTTATTGACCAGACGTTAATGCACCATAATAGTAAGGTTTGTGTGGCGCCGGTCTTCATTGCAGAATCCTCCAAGGCGGTCTCGCCAGAAACGATCGTAACTTTCAATATCGTTGCATCCGCAGCCATCCCAGAGCTTCCGGTGCAACCCCATTATCCCGCGCTCAAGGCTAAGGACCCCGGAGCGGAATGCGCATCTCAGAGCCGCATTGCACACATTTCGCCGCGTGGAAAGAACGGGGGCGGGAGCCACCCTTAACACGGACTGACTCGGGGGAGGGTCAGGGTCAGGATCTGGGCAAGGCAACCCGGGTGTGACCCGGCCCGGGGACAGCGGGCGGCGGTGGTGGCGGCGGCGGCGGCGAAGGCGGCGGCCTACCCCACAACCGGAGCAGAGGCCCCCCGAGCAGCGGTCATTCACCCCGCTCACCTGGCGCAGCAGCACGCTACTCGCCGCGCCGAAAACATCGGCTCCGAGGAGTTAAACCGCAATTAACCGCCCGATTAACCGGCTGCACCGACCCTGCCGACGGCGTTCCCGCTGCCGGAGAGAGCGGGGGCGTCGCCGGACCACACCGGGTCGTGACAGGGTCAATGTTGACCCACGAGGTATCAGAGTTGGACCTACACTATCCCAGGTTATCAGCTGTAAGGATCGGTGGAAAGAAAAACAATAGAACAGTGGAACTTAAAGAAAGTTGAAAAAGTTCTTAAAGTTCTCCAGTAACTTTAGTTCAGTTTTTTCGTCTATAACTAACCTAGGTAATGCTGTATTATTATTCAAAAGTACACTTATAATATGGCTTTATTTTACGTTGTCTTAGACCAAACAAGAGACATTCGAGGTAAAATAATTTAAACCTTGGAACACAAATAACATTTCTTTTTACTTCTTTAGGTCTTCAAAATTCCTTAGCTACATCTCTTGGTGCCTTGATACGGGCCTGAATTCAAAACGGAATATTGTTTAGAGAACAGAGCCACATTTCTTGGCAAAAAAAAGTTATGAGGATGCAACACTTCGACTGTTGCCTCCATTTTTTCATCAAAAAAACTCGTTTTGTGGGCCTGATCCCAGTCGTAAGGCTGTGGAGTGTGGCCCGTGGGCCCCTTGGTAAGGGCGACACCCGGCCACGCCCGCGTGTGTACGTTACGAGCAGAGGCCTGTTCCTCAATGGAGACGCGTCGACCGTGCGCTGCGCCGGAGTTGTTTTGATGCCAGAGCACGACGCCCCGCGCAGCTGGTCGAAGGCGCGTCGCTCGCCCACCTCGCAGATCGCCGGACTCGTGGGAAATACTCGACGAAGAAATGTAGACACTCTCTTACTGGGGTCGGGAGAGGGTATCATGGCGGTGTCTCCGATCGGGAGGTCCTAGACGGCGGCAGGATTTTTGACACTATCTAGAGAGCTAGGTCGAAATCAGCCGCTGCCTGGATAGCCGACCACCGCCGCCCGCTGTCCCCGGCCCGGGTCACACCCGAGCCTTGCCCAGATCCTGACCCTGACCCCCCCCTCCGAGTCAGCCGTCTGATCGAGCCGAGTCGAGCCGAGCCGAGCCGAGCCGAGCCGAGCCGAGCCGAGTCAGCGGGAAGGCCGACTGATGATAGGTAGTGTTGCACGGTTTCTCCGATCAATACCAGTCGAATGCTGGAGCAGTACCCTAATAAACGGGCCACGCACCTCGCACAATGTTTCCTATCTCTTCCTTGTCCTCGCCCCTTACTTACGCACACTAACACATACATGCACCACACTACCCCAGTTGTCGGGAGCTTAGAGCTTGGCCCAGCTAGAGAGGTGCCTGTCCGGTGGAAGATACCTGGTTGGGAACGACGTTATCCAACGGTATGT